AGAGCACGCTAAGGTCTGGTTGACACGGGGAGGACAGTCATTCCTGCCAGCAGACTCCAAGGGGGACATAGGTGGCACTCAGGCCCTGGGCTCTGAAAGGGGAGTCTGGGAGCTCTAGACAGGGAAGATAAACCCTGCCTCCTTTGCACTTTGGCTTAGGAGGGCCTCTGAAGGCTGATATCACACAGGTGCTGGGTCAAAGAAAGACTGAACCTTGTAGGCCCCTCCCTTGAAGTCTTTCAGGGAGAAAGGGATCAAAGCCCTTGCCAAGATGAAACAGCAGGCAGAGCCTCTTCTCCTTGGCACTTTCACCAAGTCCCCACTGGCACACTATAAACATATCTCACTCCTGTAATCCCAGCACTTTGGGAGGCCAAGGCGGGCAAATTACCTGAGGTCAGGGGTTCGAGACCAGCCTGACCAACATGGAGAAAGCCCATCTCTACTAATAATACAAAATTAGCTGGGCATGGTGGCACATGCCTATAATCCCAGCTACTCAGGAGGCTGAGACAGGAGAATATTTGGAACCCAGGAGGCAGAGGTTGTGGTGAGCCGAGATTGCGCCATTGCACTCCAGCCTGGGTGACAAGTGAAACTCTATCTCAAAAAAAACTATGTATCAAAGGCTTAACCCAGCCCATCCACCAGGCCTGCAGCCGTGTGGTTCACCACTGCCCCTATACAGGACATGCAGGGCATGGCCACATTTCAAGAGCAGCCTTTCATTCATGGGCCATGAGCCCATTACTGTGAAAAATGAAAAATTGCTCCTATTCTGATGAGAACTGAAATTCAGTTTTAAAGTGGATGTCCTACTAAATGGCTGCATGTAAATTCATTTTTTTTTTTTTTTGATGGGAAGTCTTGTTCTGTCACTCAGGCTGGAGTGCAGTGGTGCGATTCCAGCTCACTGCAACCTCCACCTCCCAGGTTCAAGCGATTTTCCTGCCTCAGCCTCCCCAGTAGCTGGGATTACAGGCGCACACCACCATGCCCAGCTAATTTTTGTATTTTTAGTAGAGACAGGGTTTTGTCATGTTGGTCAGGCTGGTCTCAAACTCCTAACCTCAGGTGATCCGCCCTCCTCAGCCTCCCAAAGTGCTGGGATTACAGGCGTGCGCCACCACACCCAGCCTAAATTCGATTTTTGTAAAATAAAAAAGCATGGAGTCAGAGCTAGGTCCAAATCCCAGACCCATTTCAAGCTGTCTCAGGTTGAGCAAGTGACTTGACTTTCTACCCCTCAGTTTCATCATGAGTGAAATGGGAATGACAATAGAACTCACCACTGGCCTATTGGAAGGACAAAATAAAATAATGCATATAAAGTACTCATCACAGCATCTGGCACACATTAAATAGTAGCAAAAATGTAATTAGGCTTTTTGAAGAATCCTGTGGTCAATTCTTTTGTACAGCAAATAATCCTCTAACAAGAAGAATCATTATCTAATTTATACATGGTGTAGAATTTGCATTTTTAAGTTTTTCTTAAAGCAAGACAATGCCTGATTTCCACAGCCATCTTTCTCGGGCATGGAAGCATTATGACATGGGGTCACAGATTTGAGTGTCACAGAATCTGCACTCTACAGCAGCTAGTGATATGACAATGAGCAAGTCATTTAACCTCTCAGAGCCTCAGTTTTCTCTTCTGTAAAATAAGGATAACAATAATGTGTACTTCACGGGGTTGGCATATAACGAGGGTTTTAATGTTAGCTGGAATCATAAAAGTAATTATTGACAGTAAGAATGAAAACTTTTTTTTTGAGATGGAGTTTCACTCTTGTTGCCCAGGCTGGAGTGCAATGGCACGATCTTGGCTCACTGCAACCTCCACCTCCCAGGTTCAAGCAATTCTCCTGCCTCAGCCTCCCGAGGAGCTGGGATTACAGGCACCCACCACCATGTCTGGCTAATTTTTGTATTTTTAGTAGAGACATGGTTTCACTATGTTGGTCAGGCTGCTCTTGAACTCCTGACCGTGTGATCCGCCTGCCTCAGCCTCCCAAAGTGCTGGGATTGCAGGCGTGAGCCAGCATGCCCGGTCCAGAATGATAACTTTCAAAGTCAAGTTTGCATGTTTGATTCTAGCCAGTTAACATTGGGGCAAAGAAAAAACAGCTTTCTATTGCCAAGGCTTTTGCCCCTAGACCCAGGGAGCCGTCTTGCTATTCCCCAGAGGGATCAGGGCAGAAAGACAACTCAGGGCTTAGATCACAAAGCGTATGATGCTGGTGCTGGGTCCGTAACACCATCTTTATGGAGGGACAGGGAATGAGAAAGAGGATGAGGATGCCACAAATCTCTCCCGGAAACCCACACTTACTTTGCACAAGAGATCAGTAAGAGTGAGCCCCCCACCATCCCCACCCCTGCCTCCTATACCTTACTGTCCAGCTTCTTCATAGTCACTAGGTCCAGAGACTTCAGGGAATGACCCGTGGGGGCAATGAAATACAAGCAGACGTGAATTCGGGAGTCGTGGTAGGTGTGCAGCACTCTTCGGATCTTCAGCTCTTCCTGCAGGTAGGCCTCGAATTGTGCGTCAATGAATTCCACGATGGGTTTGTAGCTAAAAGGGAAAGCAGGGACAGAGGCGGACCCCGTCAAAAACTTGGATCTTGACACTGTCCCTTTTGGAAGTTTCAGATGCCCTCTGTAATCTTGACTCTCTCCCATCCAGCTGCATTTCTCCATCTCCCTTCAGGGGGCCTCCGATCTTGTCACCCTGGCCACCTTCTCAGTCCCTACATGAGCCAAACCTATGCCCATCTGTTCACCTTCACTAGAATGCCCCTTTCTCTCTCCTCATCCCAATTCTGCCCTCCCAGACCTCAGGGCTCAGCTTAATGCCCTCTTCCTTCCTACAACCTTCCCCACTTATGCCAGAAAGCCCTTCTGCAAGCCATGGGCATAACAAAAAATGGCATTCAACTGCCTTTTTTTTTGAGACAGAGTCTTGCTCTGCTGCCCAGGCTGGAGTGCAATGGAGCAATCTTGGCTCACTGCAACCTCTGCTGCCTGGGTTCAATCGATTCTTCTGCATCAGCCTCCCAAAGTGCTAGGATTACAGGCGTGAACCACCACAACTGGCTCAATTGCTTATTGTTGCTTTGCAAGGATTCTCTCAAATAGGCTGTGTCTTCCTGAAGGGCAGGGCCTGTGAAGGGCAATTCTGTGTCCCTCAGGAGGCCCCAACGCAGCGTGGAGCTCACTGGCTGTATCTGTAGCGGGGCTGATTTCCTCCAAGCTGGGCTCATGTCTTTGCTTCCTTTATCTCCCCTACAGTGCCTAGATGGGAGCTGGGTACACAGTGGGTAGTAAGACCTCTCTTTGGCCCCCTGCTGGGCAATCTTGTGAGAACACTCAGGGCTTCTCATTCTCAGTAGGATTAGTGGAGCTCCCCATTTGGCTCCCCCAAGGTCAAGATATTTTCCTGATTCTCATTTCTACCAAGGTAGTGACTTTAAAATCTAAGTATTCAGGTCAGGTGCGGCAGTTCATGGCTGTAATCCCAGCACTTTGGGAGGCTGAGGCAGTCAGATCACCTGAGCTCAGGAGTTGGAGACCAGCCTGGGCAGCATGGCAAAACCTCGTCTTTAGTAAAAATACAAAAATTAGTTGGGCATGGTGGCATATGCCTGAATCCCAGCTACTCGGGAGGCTGAGGCATGAGCATCACTGAAACCCAGGAGGCAGGGGTTGCAGTAAGTGGAGATCACACCACTGCACTCCAGTCTGGACAACAGAGTGAGACTTTATCTGAAAGAAAAGAAAAGAGAAGAGAAGAAAAGAGAAAAGAAAGAAGGAAGGAATGAAGGAAATAAATAAATAAATAAATCTAAGTATTCAGGCAAAATCTGGTAAAGCTATTCCCCACCACACCCTCCACACATGGACACAGACTCAACCAGCTCACTGAGTCTCCATGCACGGCTCCTCTAGCTGGCCCCCAAGTCTTGCCAAGCCTTCTTCTTCTTCTTTTTTTTGAGACAGAGTCTTGCTCTGTCACCAGGCTGGAGTGCAGTGGCACAATCTTGGCTCACTGCAACCTCCGCCTCCCAGGTTCAAGCAATTTCCCTTCCTCAGCCTCCTGGGTAGCCGGGACTACAGGCACGCGCCATCACACCCAGCTACTTTTGTATCTTTAGTAGAGACAGGGTTTCACCACATTGGCCAGACTGGACTTGAACTCCTGACTTCGTGATCCACCCACCTGGACCTCCCAAAGTGCTGAGATTACAGGTGTGAGCCACCACGCCCAGCCGCCAAGGCTTCCTAAACAACAGTCAGCCCTCTATGTCTCTCTGTCTTGGTCATCCCTAAGAAACTTCCCCTTCTCTCTGTCCCAGTCCCCTCCCAATTTGTCCCCATCACCCCTACAGCCTCTTGCTTCTCTAACTAGGACAGCTTAGCCAGCCCTGCCTCTTGTTCTCATCTCCCCTGTCTGTCTGCTGCCTCTCTGGCTGAGGGGCTGCCTCCTTTCAGGCTAGAAGAGGCTTGTCATGTGGGCCCAGGGCAGGGAGTTTTCAGATACCGCTGCCAGAAGGGAACATGATGATCAAAGGAGGAGCTGGGCCCAGCCAATGCCTCCCACCTGCAGAAGCTCCCAGCCTGAGACTTTTTCAAAGATCACCCTAGTAGAGAAGGGGGAAGTAGCCTTTTAAAAAATAATCACAGGATCCTAGATTCTAAGAGCTGCAGCCAGAGCAGAGATCCAGGTGCAGGCTATCTCTGGAGCCCCAGAGAAAAATCTTTCTTTTTGGATGGAATTTTGCCCTGTCATCTAGGCAGGACTGCAGTGGCGCGATCTCCACTTACTGCAACCTCCGGCTCCAGAGCCCCAGAGAAAAATCTAAAAACATAGTCCTTTTTTTCTTTCTTTGATCCCTCTGAGCCACTGTTCTGAAGGGCAATCGCATCAAAGAATCTCTTGGTTGCAAAGATCCTTAGAAGGTTCTTGACGAATTTGGAGTGAGGGTGGAGGATGTATCCCCTAGGCCTTTCAAATTAATTTTTGGATGATTTGCTGATTCGAAATAGTTGATCATGGCA